AACGAATTTGTGTACTAGAAGCAATTTTTGTTGTCCTTCGTTTATTCCTTTAAATTATTTTTTATATACATAAATTTTTGCAGAATTTTTTAACATTTATCGAAAAGCATTTATTTGCATATATAAGTAAAATTTGGTTACACATCGACCCTTTAGTCATTGATGGATAATATCTTTACAGTTTTAAAACATATGCCATATAACAAGAATATTTTCTATCCACACATTTATGATTTTCTTTCACTTTCATATATGCAAATTTATTTTTTCTTTTGGGGTGATGTTTATCCTTCAAACTGAGGATTTTATAATTTAAGTTCACCGAAAATAATAAAAAAATAAAAAAGGTACTTACTATATGGTAAAATTTTTATGATATACATAATACATGCAATAATATTATATCCCTTATTAAAAGAATATAAACACGTATATTCGAATTTATCGCACATGCGATTTTGTATTAGTTTAGAGGAGGAATTTTAATTTAATCTAATTTTTTATATATTTCAAAATAATTTATTGACAATCTTCTGTGGTTATAAAACTAAATTATCTCCTTTTTCTAACAAATTCATCTTACAAAAGTGTAAGACTCATAAATTTCATTGAATTTCCAATATATTTTAACGGACCATAAAATAAGGTGTAATAGATGGTTTATGCATAATGAGATCCCGACGCAAAACCGATTGAAAATTTTAAAATATGTTCGAATGAAGACATAAATTTCTCCAAACAATGCAAAATCATATTAAATTATTTTGAATAGAAAAGTGAAAGTTGCTCATTTTAACTCTTTAATGGATAAAATAATTCTTATTTAAATAAATCGTTTTTTTGTGGATTGAATTAATTTTACTTAGTCAGGGTATTGCATTCTTTTCTTAGGTGAAAACTATCGAAACTCAGCGTGTGAGAGATAATACAGTGAAATCAAGTTTATTAATGATTTGTAAGAAGATGTATAGCAATCAGACTCTGAAGGTTCATTGAACTGTGAACCTCATTCCAATATTTTACAAATACTCTTGATTCCTTTTAAAAAAGATTCCTTTTAAAAGAACATTTGAAAGTGGTGAAGAACTGATGTTTAAGCAACTTACTATATCAGACTTGAGAGTTTAAGGTCTGCGTATTGCGATGTCGTCATTGTTCAAATAATATGGATTGGACTAATGTAAACTGTTTTTAGCGAGGCTAAGATTAAAGAAGTTTATGATGTAAGTGCTGTGATCCATTTATTAATTCGTTTAGTCCTTACGACATGAAGTCATAAGAAAATTTACAGTCTTTCCACTTATTTTAAATTATTTTGATAAAAAAGTAAGCAAAATTAGCAACAATTTTGGAAAGTTTAAGTAAGTAAAAGGAAGTTGCCATATTATTGTTATTGTCATTTGTAAGCCATTGTATAGTTTATCAGATGAATAAGCTTTAAGGACAAATTGGGTTTAATTTTATATATTTTATGGGATAATTGTATAGATATGCGCGGTTATGAGGTATAGATGTAAATGTTTACAATTTAACTATTATTACTTATTGACAATGCCATATTTAAGTGCATAAAATATACCTTTAAAGTACTGAAGCTTTCAGTGTCGTAAAATAAAATTTATATTTTTTACAGATGTAATTAAATACCATCTAAAGTAAAGCTAATAACTATTCACTTGACCAAAACTTCCACTTAACACATTTTAATTAATAAATTTTCTTTTCAGATTTTTATTTTATACTACCTTTATAGTCCTTGTTATCCCTTTTTTTGTTTCTTCATCAAAAAATATTTTATATTAAATGCAATTAAAAAATAAAATTTTGCTTTTTTCTTACTAAAAAAGTACTTCCCCATTTTTAATTTTCTTTTTCACACACAAAACAATCCAAATAAAGTAAGAGTAAGATTGATGCACTACAAGTGATGAAACTCTTATAGGAACCTCGTTTGGAAGGAGCCAGAGTGGTAAAAAATTTCACTCGAAATGCAATTTGAAAAGTTGTTTTTCTTATTGTTTTGGAAGTTGGTTTAAAACATTGTTTTGCTTCAGGAAAATCATTCTTTTATGTGCATATATAATACATATATAAATATATATTTAATAAAAAAACACACATATGTATATATTGATTTTATTTTATATTAAATTCGAAACAATACCATAAACTTCAATAAATACTAAATAACTTTAAAAATTGCTGTTGGATATTTTATCAATTTTTCAAAGGAAAAGTTAACTGTAGAAACTATGTTTTTACTATTACTTAACTTCATAGATCCAATTATATTTTAATTAACTTAAATGCAACAATTAAATGAAATAAGAAATGTTGTTATGTAGATCATTATTTGATATTTCACCTTCAGTCTGAAGTTTCAAAAAAATCATCATATTTTCTTATAAATATAAAATCTTGTTTAGGATTTAAAAATTTGTAATTAAAACTGTTTTTTCAGCTAATAATTTGACATAAAAATATTTATAAAATTATTAGTTGATTGACTTTTGAGATTTTATATCATAACAATAATTAAATAGAATAAAAATTTCTCTGAATGTGATAAAATTGATCTTTCTATACATTATATTTAGATTTATATGTATTATATAGTTTCAGAAATACATCAAAATTGCAAATTTTTTGTAAATAAAATCGATTAATGAATTTTTCAATATTCTTCGCGTTGCTCTCTACGAAGTTCACCAGATGGACTGTGGACTTATGTCCAAAGCTATATGTCTACTAATTTGAACATTCGAACAAAATTAATTATATTTTAGTACATAAATTAGAATAAATTATATAAATATATGGCTATTGACAATGCATATATGGTAATTCAACAATAATTGATTAAATTTTAATTAAAATTATATCATATATATTATATCATATCATATATATTATATATTATTATACATATACATATTATTATACATATATACACCTTTTATGATTATTACTTATTATTATATATTTAAACCTATACACATATAACATACATGACTTATTTTATACTAAAGTCTTTAATGAGTGGTGTTTTTAATTTTAGTGATGAAGTATAGCATTAAAACACTTTGTATATGCATTATTTTTTGTCAAATTTAAATAACTAATATTGTAAAAATATTTTAAAGACTTTGCTTTTTATTTTCTTGAAACAGAAAATTAGCATTAATACTAGTTGCAGATTATGCTAAAATGTGAAGTTGATTGAAGCTGTTTCAAAAGAATATACGATATTGATGGGTTTTAGTGACATCAAAACTTCTTTTTCTGCTTAAGTAGGGTACAGGCAACGCGGTGAGTCGTTTTGTTATTATACATCTGGAGGTTAGGTTCTAGACCTTTTAACCAAAATGCGTGGTTCATAAAAAAATAGTATTTTTTTAAGATCTACATATAATTAGGACGTTCGCTATGTTAATTTGCATCTAGACTTCCAAATGCTTTAATCGCGTAAAATGTTTTAATCGTGTATAGTCTGAGCATTTACATAGGAATTATTCAGTTAATGGCTTAAGATATTATAAGACTTGAAGGATTTCAAGTTCTTTTAAATATATTTGTTATTATCACAATACATTACACTATTCAAAAAGCTTTAAATTGTAAATAAAAATTATTTGTGCTAAGGATATGTATTTATGAAGCAATAAATTTTTTGGTACAATTTGAATAAATTGTTGAAAAATTTATTTATTTTTTTTTTTTTATTCAAAAAAACCTTTTACCTAATAAAAAAACAACAGTATAAACTTTCTACTACAAGTATTTGTATAATATAAATTTTTTATTTTCTCCACAGTGAATGCAAACGACTCCAGTGGTATATTTTTGAACATAAATTGATACACATTTAATAAATAATTAATTAAGTTTAAAATTATGAGTTGTCTTATCAAAAGTTTTTAATAAAATAAACCAAAAATATAAATTAATTTTTAATAACCGCTGCGGTTAATGAAAATTTAAAATTTATTACTCTGCGGTATTTTAAATTTTATGAAAACTCATTAAAGTAAAAGCATTTTTTAAATAAAAGAATTCTTGAATATTTCAGAGACTTATAAAGAAAATGATTGAAAAATACTTAAGTCATAAAAGAACTCACCGATTTTGCTTGGTAAATAATTTTTACTCACTTTTAATTAATAAAAGAACGCAGGTTGCAAAGCAGGGATTTTAGCCTGATTTATGCGAAAAGCTGTGAAGCTGGAAGTGAAGGTGGTTAACGAGAAAAACAGTTTCAAGGCAAAGTAGTTTCCATCATAAAATGAATTTTATCTAAAGCAACACAGCAGAAACAACAAATCTGCATGCTCCGCGGTAGTCGAGATAAAATGCGGTTAACTGATTTTAATAAGTTTTGAAAGTGCGCTTTGCCATCAAAGATTTTATGGTTGGGTTTTTAAATGAGGTCGCTTTTGCTATTTTCAAGACAGGCAAACCACTGACTCTCGACAAAGTTGTCAGAAATTTAAATTAAAAATATTTTCAAATTCTTAAACTGAAAACAATACATTTAAGATACTTTCAATCATTGCAATTTTCACTATATTAAATGGATAAATAAATTTCAAAGTAAACTTTGAAGTTCATTAAAGTCAATTGCTGAAAATGAGCTGGACAGAAGACATTACAAATACATGAGACAGAAATATTAGAGACAGTTAAACGACGAAAGTTTGAGTTTTTTGGTCATATTCTGCAGTATTCGGAAAAGTACGGAAAAGTACTGAAGTTAATCATTGAAGGCAGAATCGAAGACAGACGTGGCCCTGGGAGACGTAAGACATCTTGGTTGAAGAATTTACGTTAATGGTTCAATAAAAGTACAAGATCACTTTTTCGAGAAGCTTTAGATAAAGTCAAAATAGCAATCATGTTAGTC